AATTGGAGTTCTTTAAGGCCTAAGATGGGTGACATTGAGGGCCCCATCAGGGTTCTGTTTGACCTTGTGGAACTGGAGTGGGCATGGCCAAGGTGGTCATGGACACCTTGACATGTCAGGGACACCTGTGAGGGCCTGAGTGCTCTGCCAGCAAAAATGGAGCTCAGGAGGGCTGCGGGTAGTCCTTGTGAGCTTCGTTTTTTCTGGCAGAGCACTCAGGCCCTCACAGGTGTCCCTGACATGTCAAGGTGTCCATGACCACCTTGGCCATGCCCACTCCAGTTCCACAAGGTCAAACAGAACCCTGATGGGGCCCTCAATGTCACCCATCTTAGGCCTTAAAGAACTCCAATTAACTCTGCTGTTTTCTCTCATTTTGCTTCTACACCAAGTGACTCCTCGTTTCAAATTCCTTTTATCAACTCCTTTTCTTCTTGGGGCCAATTACTCTGTTTAATTCAGCCTGTCTCACTGAGTTGCTGTTGGGGTGGGGTAAAACTGGAGAAGGGAACATTTATGTATGCATCCTTGAGTGATACAGAATAAAGCAGGATATGAAAGAGGGAGGGAGGAAGATAAACAGACATAGACAGACAGACTCTTCTATATTCCCACCTATAACTTGAAAAACGAGATCTTCCCCCTTTTTTCTTAACTAGATCCTTTTCTGCTTTGTACCGCTTGAATCCTCTTGCATCAGAATTATCTAGTCATGCAGAAGGTCCTTACCCTGAGTGTTGACAATCACCAGTTTATAAGCTGTAGCCCTGGGAACAGGTGTCCACAGCAGCCGAATGCGACCCAGTCCCACTGGCACCATGCGCAGATTTGATACACTGCCCACTAATGGTGGTCCTGCCACAGATGGACAGAAAATAGGATTACTGGAAGGATGTAATAGATGGCTTGGGCTTATAGAGAGAACAGTTGAGTCAATTCTTGAAACAAAGAGACAAACCTCTGGTCCTTTTTTAACATACACACTCAAATAATTGTAACAACACCACCTTCTCATTTTTCTCCCCTATAGTGTTGCTCTAAATACATTATCTAAGGACAAAAATATTCTCCTTATTAGAATATCAGAAGATGAATAATTCCAAAAGTGATTCCGTGTGGGGAACAAGGTAGCAAAAGAGGCATTGGAGCATAGAGACAGAGTTAACACACTTACGGATTTGGATGTTGAGAGGCACGGAATTACCCTCACGGTTGCCAATAAGAGCTGACACACGAACCACGTAGGAGACATTCTCTGTCAAATCAACTAAGTCCTCTGTGGTCTGGGACCCTGGGATACGTCGAACCCTCTCAGTGCCATCTACAGCAGAAACCATAATAGTTGTGAACATGAACTCATAACTGAGGCTTTCTAATTCAAAGCTTGTTTCATAAAAACAAATCTTGTGATTTTGTGGTCACAGCATCAAGCTACAAAGAGACAGGAACCTGACATTGGATAAAGAGAGAGGAGGCTAAACTAAGAAGTTCATTTCCCACCAACAAAGCACTTCAGCTTTATTCATAGTTATTTTGTTACACTCTTCTTACTTATGTGTAACTCATCTCTGTGTTGTTCCTACTTCTATTATTCCCCAGGTACCATCACCAATAGTTATCCTTCGTGAGCTGAATGCAATGAAATTTCATTTTAACGTATGCTGATTAGTGTACCTTTAAAGTGATCTATTCTAGTCTGTTCTGTTCTATTCTAAATTCTATGCTCTCAACGAACAGGTTTTGAGCGTGTTGGCATCAATGTTCCTTAGAACATCATTATTAAATCAGTGGTTCCCAAACCTGAGTAAAATACCAAAAATTGGTAAAAGTGGTTTTTCTTTAGGTAACACATGAACCC